GTTTGATATTTGCAAAAAAGTTCTCACCCTTTTTTTGAGTATACAAAGCATTGAACTGAAAGGGCATGTATTCAAACTTGTCCCTAGGGTCTAGAACATTTGCAAAGAATATGAGATAGTTCATCTTTTCAGGATCTCCCCAATACTTATCAAGTTTGGATTTCATAGTACTTCCAATGGTACTTGTAGAAGGTCTATCTGACTTCATCAAGTCCTGAAGGACCATAAACAGATCAGACACCTCTGAGAAGAAAGTATTAGAAGTAACATAGAGAGAGCCTGAAATTCTGAGTGTCATATCATAAAAATTTTGAAGAACTGTGACCAAAGACTCACAAGAAATCCAATCCATAGTATCTGGAGTGTCAACACCCAAATCAACTGCATAACTGGTTACATTCTCCTCATAAGCTTCAAAAACTTTTTCATTACATAAAGCTGACTTAAGCATTAGGTATGTGGAACTCCACCTAGTTGGAACATCAAGGTGTAGTCCACATTTAGCTTCCACCCCAATTAAGTCAGATATGTCCTTAAACTTTTGAAGCCTAGCAGGAGAATTCCTAACATACTTAACTGCTTCCCTAACCCTAGACAGAGAAGTGTCAGCTTGTTTTAAACCATCCTGAACTGCCAAGTTTAGAATGTGGGCAATACATCTCATGTGAAGATACTGGACTTTAACAGAAAAGCCCCCCCAAGATAATAGTTTTTTCTTGAAGAAGCCTACAGTTGTATCATTACTGCTTGCATTATCAACAGTAACAGTAAAGATGTTTTTTAGCCCCCACTCTAAAAGGCAGTTCTCAAGAGCCTTAGCAATGTACTCCCCTTTGTGAGAAGTAACCTGGACAAAGGAAATGATCTTTTTCTGAAGCTTCCACTGATGGTCTATGTAATGAGCAGTAATACACATGTAGTTGATCCTCTGTACAGAGGTCCATGTGTCAGTAGTAATACTTACCCTTTGTGTTGTCTCCATAAATAGCTTTTTCAAATTCATCTTCTCGTCCAAGTAGATTTGGTAAATGTCCCTTGCAATGGTCCACCTAGAAGGCATCTTAAATCTAGGGCAAGCTATGGACATAAACTTTTTAAAACCCTGCCTATCAACAAACCTAAAAGGAAGCTCATCAATTATAAGCATTTCTGCAAGAGCTCTTCTAATTGCAGTTTGGTCAAACACCCAAGTCCCTAAAACCCCAGCAGGTTCTTCAGTAGGACTTGATTGGAAGGTTAAGAGGGCTTGCCTAGTGTCCTTAGAATGAGTGTTCTTCAGACAACTGAGCATGTGATTTCTTATAGATGAGGTGCCATGTTTTTTTGAATGACAAGCATATAATCTTGCACAATATATGCATTTCCCTTTAACAAGAACTCCCTGATGGAGTATATGGCTCGGGAACCCCCGGCCCACAGACTCTTATTACTCCAGTAAAGGCCCAACAGGCCCAAAACATGGCGCCCGGAGTGCCAAGCAGCACACAGCGCACTAGGGGTGCCTTCGACCCCCTGGCCGAAGGCTCTAGACTCTCACAGAACGGGTTTCTCAAGCAAACTAAGAAACTGGGAGAAAACGGCGAAAACAGGAGCCCTCGGCACCAGGGTGCCATCGGTTTGAGGAGCCCTCGGCTGCTGCTCTATAGCCGAAGGCACCTCACTCGACAAGATCTCCTCTTCACGCGCGTACAGATCACCGTACCCTGTACAACGTCCCATCCAACAGCCGCATTAAATGCGGCCACATGCGGTTGCCAGCGCCAACCAGTTGAGGTGACCCCTCGGCCAATGGGCGCTTGACACATGTCCCTGTCCGGCATTTATTACTACTATAAATAGCAACCCCTTTCCCCATTTGTAACCACGGCATTGATACTGAATACACTCTCTCTCTTACTTATTTGTGCTCTTACTTCTCTCTAAGTTATTCTCAGCAATAACCCCTCGGATATATACCCCCCGGGTAGACTATCCATCACTCCCTTTTCATCATAAATCTTGTCAAAGTGTTCCCATACTTTGGACCTGGGTGCAACCTGTTTCCTCTTTTGGCCAGAAACCTGGGTGCAAATATCAGTCTGTTGAGTGGTATCATTATTCTCTATAATGGGAGCTTCCACTGCAGGTTCCTGGCTTAGAGGAGGTTCACCAGATACAGGCATGGTAACACTATCTTGACCATCCATCTATATAAGTAAATAAGCAATTGCATACACATAGGTAGATTAGGCTTATGGCATTGAGCTTCCACATTTTTCTCATAATAGAGGCTTCAAATGTTTACCTTTCATATATGATATATCTTTCTCATATGCATACAGAAACACAAGGTAGTCAGGCTCCATCATCATTCACATATGCATAATCATATATTGGACAATAGGCATACAACTTTAAGAACTCAGTACAAGCCTCAGTCCATCATCATTACATATGCATAATCATACATTAGGCATACAACTTTAAGAATTCAGAACAAGCCTCAGGCTCCATCATCATTCACATATGCATAATCATATATTAGGCAATAGGCATACAACTTTAAGAATTCAGAACAAGCCTCAGTCCATCATCATTACATATGCATAATCATACATTAGGCATACAACTTTAAGAAATCAGAACAAGCCTCAGGCTCCATCATCATTCACATATGCATAATCATATATTAGGCAATAGGCATACAGCTTTAAGAATTCAGAACAAGCCTCAGTCCATCATCATTACATATGCATAATCATACATTAGGCATACAACTTTAATAATTCAGAACAAGCCTCAGGCTCCATCATCATTCACATATGCATAATCATACAGTTTAGTACTCCGAATTCATATATAGGATACTTAGTCAGTGAGGAGCAAGGATTCATATTTCACCACAACTTAGAGACATCAACATATTATTAAGCATGAACACATCAACATCATCATAGATTCATAGTCACTCGTCAACATCATAGATTCAAATACAATCATCATAGGGTTTCAGCAAGAATCATTCATTTTATCAAACATTCAAATACAAATTCACAACAAAACCGTAGATATCAATACCTCAGAGTCAGAGACAATGCAATAGACTACACACTTTGGAATGATCGAAGAACGATTTCCACCGATTAGGGTTTCAGCGAATCAGCAAGACTGTGTGCCTTTCTGTGTGAGAGCTTCCACCAAAATACCAAATAGAAGTATAGAACTATAGGATTCTCAACTCTCAAGTCTCAACTCTCAAGTAGTCAAGTGTAATTGAAGAAGGAAATCAAAGACCGAGAGAGGAGAGTAAGGGTTCAGACATAAGAGAGTTAGAGAGAGGATAGAGCGAAGAGTAGAAGACAGATCGAAGAGGCGGATAGGGTTAGGCACTTAGGCCGGGTAGAAAAGTTATACGTAGGTATATATATAAAATCCAAAACGACGCCGTTTTGGTATGTCGGATTTTTCGGGCGGATCGGGTTAGGGTTTTATAAACCCGACCCGCAACCCGGTACCCGCCCAAACCCATATAATTTTTCGGATATGGATAGTCGGATCGGATATCCATATCCATTCGGATAAAACCCGGAAAAAAAATCGGGTTTTTCGGGTCGGATCGGTTTTTGCTCAGCCCTATATGGAACTAAGGAATTCAACCTGCACGGGTAGCTCAGTTGGTCGAGTAGTGGGATAATTGGACCAAGTGTGTAAGTGACCAAGCATTTGGTCACCCTAAACCACAAACGCTTCACCCGTTAACGTTTTGAATAAGTTGTGTTTTCAAGCTTCAGCTCAAATCAACCCTCCATTCAAACATTACCACATTTATATTTATTATTTATATTTATTGATTGGATTTTAAAAATTGCATCCCATTATAAGCTGAAAGCTTCTGCCGAACATAGCCTTGATCCATAAATGAGATCACATTCATATGTATTGTTATCTTAACGTAAATTCTACTCCGTATTTCCGAATTTGCAACAAATTGTGCAAATACTTATCTTTTCCACCACAATAAAGTAGTCAATATCGATTCATATGCTCCACCTTCCCTGTATCACATTAATTAAACATCAAAATCTTTTAATAAATGACAACCATCCAATCATCAAAACAATACATTGTTTTTTCAAATCCATTGTTTTCATCCCAAAATAATGTTCATGCAACATTATTTAGGAAAGTTTATGCTTGCTACATCAATGTCATGATAACTTAAATTTAAAAGCTGAACATACTTTTTATGTTATTAGGATTTCATTACTACTTTAATTACAAATCATATTTTTATGAACAATCTTTATTTTATTCACATTTTTTTAAATAATTCGTAATTATTTCAAATTTACATATTCTTTTATTTTTTTAACAGGATTACACAAGTTTTATTTTGATAAAAAAATGTATTTAATCCAATTTTAGAACTTTGCATATGATTTTACTCGTGTGTCCAGCAAAATTTTCTTTTTGTGTCAGAAATAACACTTCTCTTTAATAATTTGACTGGGCACGAGTTTTAAGATAGTGAAAAATATGTGGTGAAGAGTTGTGCAGAGGAAAGAGAAATGTGTAAGAATGAGTGTAAACCACAAATTCTTTGCCAAAAAAGAAAAGAGGGGATAAATTTGGAACGGACCGAAAAGGAAAGAATGAAGATAATTTCGGGACGGAGGGAGTATGTGTTTTAATGTCTGAAATATGAATAAATGGTTCCCACCATCCCATAATTTTTTTCTCATTTTTGTTAGAAAAAACAAGATTTGGAATTTTTTTAGAACGTTAATTATTTATATACAAAAAAAATTATATTTAAAATTATAACTACGTATGAAATTTAATATTATGAGACCGATGGCACTACGTTAAATATTTTTAATTTTTGTTTGTTTTTGTTTTACCTACCATTGCAGCGTTTCTTGAACGGTTCATGTCCACGACTCCAAGCCTGACCGAGCATCTAGATCCCACAAAAAATCATCTTTTTACCCTCTGTACATCTCCTCGTCTTTATAAACAAACTTTCCCAGATTTTTTTAAAAGTTTGACCAAGAAAAGAAGAGATGAAAGGATGGTTGAAGATCATTTTGGTGGCGGTTTCGTGTGGAACTATTCTGTCTCTTTTGTTGATTATGATCATTCAAAAAACATGTAACCGCAAAAGACGCAGAGATCGTTTTGAAGTAGAAGGAAGACCAGAAATTCCAGAAAACACTCACTCCGCCGCCGCCGCCGCCGCCGGAATAACTCAACTTCAACATGCGAGTCTTCACCATCTTGACCGAAACGGAACCGGTAAAATCAATTACTTCGTTTTCCGCCGTGGGCCGTCTGCGAAGCCCAATTTCAGTTGGGCCGATAACCCTTCCCTGGTCGCAGACGCCATCGACAACGGATGGGCAAACTTCGGGTTCACCGCCCATAATCCGCCGCCGCCGCCGACCCGATCGGCCAGGTCTCTGCTCGGCGCGTGCGCGGCCGGTGATAATCAAACGGCGGTGAAGATAAGCTGGGAAGTCTCCCCTGGTTCATCGGATTTGGTACAGAAAATCAGATTCAGATGCAATTCAGACCACATGAAGAGAATCAGTGGCATCAGAAACAAGTCGCCGTCAATGACCGCCGCCTCTGTTCTGAAGACTTCGCTTCCTCTGCCAGGCCCACAATTGGGGACTTCATCTTTCCCGCAAGAAGCCTATTTCGAGATCACGATTTTGCTGTGTGATGAGGATGAAAATGAAGGCCGGAAATCTCAAGATGACAAAATTAACCTCATTCGAGAAGACTATAATGCCAAATCTGCGGTCCACGCCATGAGCATTAATGGTGATGATGATAATGGAAAGGGGAATAGGAAACACAATAGCAATAACAATGTGGCTATATCCATAGGGCTAAGTGGAAGTGGTTGTCTTCCTTTCAGGCTTCCAGGGAGCTATCCTGGTTCCATTGGATTCAATTCTAATGGTTCTGTCTGTCTTGATGGTATTTTACTTGACATTTCTTTTGATTCTTAAGGATAAATCATCATATTGAAATAAATAAATAGGGTACATCATACTTCAGTTTAAAAAAAGAGTATTTCTAAAATTTATTATTTTAATAAACTTATTTACTTAGTATATAAATATGATTAATAGTTACTGTAATATAATCTCATTCATTTTAAAAATTGAAAATAAATTACATTACTATGACAAAGTTGTTTTTATAGTCACCAATATTAGAACATCACAAATTTACAAACATTTATTATATTATAAAAAAAGTATTATGTAGACCTCATTTGATAACCATTTCTTGGATTATTAGCGAATTTTTTATGATAGAATTTTGTACTGAAGTAGACAATTTTAGTTTGTCCTTACAATTTTTTCTTAATTTTATAAGTAATATACGGACTACGGAGTATATTTTAAATAAAAAATCCAAAATCTAATAGTTCGATTATAACTTCATAGAGGCTCTTGATTTTAAGAGTACGGAGTAGATTTCAAGAGGCTCTTGATTTTAAGAGTTGTTTATAAATTTTAATTCTTTTGAGTCTTGGCCTTGACACTTTTAGTTTCTAGCTTTTAACTTTTTAGACTTTTAATTGGTTGAGATGACTAAAAAAGAAATTCAATAATGATACTAAAAGTGTCATACATAAAACAGTCAAAGATGTTTAAAAAACTTCACAACCAAATTTGTGTTTATATTATTTCTCTTCTACATAAATTACATCCATACTATTTTTACATTCTTAGAATATGTGCCAGTAAAAAATAAGGCAAAATGACATGGGATGGAGAATAATATTTTTGTGATATCATAATAAAAACGTAAAAGCAAAAAAAAGTTAAAAGTATACCTAATGTTAGCTTCTTTATTACTCCGTAAGATTTAAGAAAAATAAGAATTTCAGTTCTACTTTGACTTTTAGACTTTTAATTGGGAAGAAGAAAGTATAAAGATACAACCCATCTTGTAAAACATATTCAACTAATAAATTCTGTGTGCGGATTTGGTTTAGGGATGGTGCTGGTCTATGAAGGGGAACCATGGGGAAGAACAGAAGAAAAGGTTATTGGATGTGGGTACAACCCAAGCCAAAAGAAAGTGATTTTTACAATGGATTCACATCTTATGCATGAAATCAAATGCAAATCAGAGGAATTTGGAAGCCCGCTATATCCAACTATGGCTGCAAATGCTGACATCACGGTTGTGGTTAATCATGGCCAAAGTGTTTTCAGGTATGGACCAGCAAATAATGGCAGAACATCAAACCCTAGCTTCAGTGGCCCCTTGTCAAACAATTCTACTTCAGCTATAGGATATGATGAAGACAGCAAAGAGCTTTTCTCCATAGGGAGGATTGAGTCTCTTCAATGGCTGAATAGAAACACAACTGCAGCAAGAACGTACAGTTATGGTGTGAAGCAGCAGTCAGAATCAGACTTGGAATCTGAAGGGGAGTTATTCGAAATTACGTTGGATGGTTGTGGGAAAAAAACGCAACACTCTACAGCAACATAATGAGGAAAAACATCATTATTAGGTTATAGATTTTTTTATTTAGTTTTTAGTTGTTTGTGAATGTTACTTATGGTGTAAGGCTGAAAAGTTTTGTCTGAATTTCAGGCCTTCTTGTAACTAGAGATTTGTGAATAAGAAAATTTGGTACCTTTTGTGTGTGTAAACACACAGTATAAACTTCAAAGTATAACTCTTAAATAAAAATTGCCCTAAATAGGAGTAAAAACGTTTTGAAATTCCAAAATAGGAGCATCATGTTTTTTATTCCTTGAATAGGAGTACTCTGCAAAGTTTGGAAAAAAATGCCATTTTTAAGAGTTTGGCAAAAATTTACTCCTATTTAGGAATAACAAACATGATAATCCTATTTTGGAATTTCAAAACTTTTTTACTCCTATTTAGGGAATTTACTCCTCTTAAAATACAAGTCCTTTTTTATTCCACACAGCACAAATCTAGTTCTGGTACACTCACAAAACCTTCAATACCAACTCGCAAAATGTACAAAGCACAAATCTGTATGAGATGACTACACTCAAAGAGATCAAAACACTATGTGTTCAATCTACTGCTGGTATTATATTCTTAACAATATAACTCTTTAACTCTTTAATGGCAATACGGCAAATGATATTCTGACACAATGTGCAGATGCTACTAACAAGACAACAGACAAAGTCACAACTTACAACACCAGAAGGAGTAGTGCTCATCCTTCCTGAGGGTGCTAACCAGTCCTCCACACTGATAACAGACAAAGCTACTTCCATCAGAGAAGGCATCCTCCATAACCTGTTTCCTTCCGGTCTCTGATAGTATTGAAGTTCCACTCTTATCTATTTCTACATGTTGATAGGGCTCAGTTTGTGAAGGCGTAATAGCAAATTCGGAAAACAAAGAAGCCAACTCATCTGCAGCTGCACTTGCATGCACTTTATTACTGTATAGCTCTCTAGCACGGCTAAGCAATTGATGAACAGCCTCTTCCCCTCCTCTTGATCTTATTGCCACCACCACCTGTTATGTGTTAATCAGGAGGATCGATCATGTAAAATCCTAATATACGTAAAAAGTAACAGCAGAAAACCACTTAACAATCCTTAATTTGGCAATAGGGATCCGCTCAGCTGGATGACCATTAAACCATCCTACCCTGCATGCCATACATACCAAACAATCGTGGAACTACTTTAACATAAAATCTAATAGAAAAAAAAATGTAGGGGAACAAAAACCACTTTGAGTTCATTTTGGAACCCAGAAAATGCTAGGGGAAGTAAATGAGAAAGAAAAGAGAAAAGAAATTCTGAGAAAGAAAATTTGGGGTGAATAAAAAATTTCAAACAACAAATCAACTCAAAATGTGAATATCGAGTTGATTTTTATATTCCTTCAAAAGAGAATAAAGACAACAGAATCTAAAGAAATGTGGATATTTTAAAAACTATAACTAAAGTTTATTTTACTGCATATTCCCAAGGTAAAACTGAACATTAAAAACAACTGTTTTCCTTGGCTAATCTTTCTTATGTAACAATTTGCCTATATCACTTTGTGTTCATTTTGGAACCCAGAAAATGCTTGAGGAAGTAAATGAGAAAACAAAAAGAGATGAAAAATTCTGAGACAGGAAAATTTGGGGGAAATAAAAAAAAAATCAAGCTCAATAAATCAATTGTAGATATTTGTTCAGCCTCACTTAATTCTTATATTTCTGTTACACAGAGTATAAAGACAACAGAATCAAAAGATATGTAATTACTTAAAAATTTATAATCAAAGTTGTTTTTACTTCATAATTCGAAGGTGAAACCAAACATTAAAAACAACTATTTTCCTTGGCTAGTTTTTCTTTCGCTACAAGTTTCCTAGACCCAAGCATTACCTACATGTTAAATTTCACAAAAGGGATCTGGTTGGGCTAATTTGGGAAGTGTGCAAGATCAAATTATGTACTGGATTGGGATGCCAGTTTCCCCTTTCAGCATTGAGTATTTCCTTTTTAATCAAAACAGTATTAAGCAGGCTTAATGGCGGACTGATTTACAGAAAAAAGATCTTTGTGAGCAAGGAAAATATAATCGCATTCTAAACAGGGCTGTTAGCTTATAGCATGGTTTTCTGAAAATCTGAATTGAAGTTAAGACTAACCTACTATGGTTGTATTATAAAGGCCCAAAAGAGTAAAGCATATCAATTTAAAGCTCATAACGCTGTCTTCATTAGCTAAGTGTTCCAATTAACATAGGTGAAATTAGCAAATTCGTAAGAGCAATGTAAAATTTGGATGTAATAGCTTAATCAATAGAATCTGACAGAAACGAACTGAAAATCCAAAACAACGATATAGAAACAGAACCCAAAAACGAAATATCACCGCTTGAAGAGCCTGTGACGGCATATTCTGATCGATGAGTCGGCGAGCCATCGCGAGCAAATTCCTGACGAATTCATCCTGGTCTGAACTGGATGTTGATGATGCAAGAGGCGGGTGAGGATGCAACGAAGTCGGCGGCGTGGAGGAGTCCGCCTCAATCATATCAGCGTCAATACCATCCATGGCATTTCAGTTTGTAGCGTTGTATCTGCACAATCGTTTCAAATCTGCTCCCTAATCAGGAACCTCGGAAATGAAAAGGAGAATTTAAAGATTTTTTCCAGATGTTTCTAGCATTTTCTGCATTCGCCCGCACCCTGCTTCTGTACTTGTCGGAGTAAGATCGTCGCCGTGCGGTAGGGAGACTTGGGCCGTTTAATCAAGGATGCATAATGGGCACAAGAATATTACAGATCCTTTAAATCTGTAGAGGCCCAACTAAGTTCTAAGTCCATTTCAGGAAACTGTGCATTTTCTGATTTCTATGTTAACTAGTATAGTACCCATTCATACGTACGGGAAAGAGGAGTTGGTGCATATATTTGTACTTATGATCTAATTAAAAATTAATATATAAATATTTCTTGCTTAATCATTAGCAAGATTATCTTCTTATATCTAAAAGCAGCATATATGAGAGAGATAACTCTCCCGCTCAATTGTTAGCTTACATATCTACTTATACCTAAAAGAAGTACATATGGGAGAAAAATTTTCTTTCTCAATTGTTAGTTGGATTATCATACTTAAAAGAACTACATATGAGAAAGAAAGTTTGTCCGCTCAATTGTTAGCAAGTTTATTTCTTATCTTCATATATCTAAAATCGCTACATATGAGAGAGAAAATTATTTTGTTCAATTTCCCCGCTCAATTGTTAACAAACTTATATTGTAATATGCAGAAGCACTACATGTGAGAGAGAAAATTTCCCCGCTCAATTATTAGGAAGCTTATTATTATTTTCAGTTACTCAGAACCACTACATATGAGAGATAAAGTTCGCACGCTCAATGTTAGTTGGCTCATCTTCTTATACTTAAAAGCAATACATATGAGAGAGATAGAGTTTTCCCGCTCGATTATTAGCAAATTTATCTTCTAATAATACCTAAAAGCATTACATATGAGAGATAAAAATTTTCCGTTCAATTTTTTCGCTCAATTTTTAGCAAACTTATCTTCTGATACATTGAAGCATTACATGTGAGAGAGAAAATTCTCCCGCTAAATTATTAGCAAGCTTATTTTCTTATACATAAAACCACTACATATGAGACACAAAATTCTTCTGTTCAATAGTTAGTCGGCTTATCTTATACTTAAAAGAACTCCATGTGAGAGTGTTTAATTTCCCGTTCAATACCTAAAAGCACTACATATGAGATAAAATTTTCCCGCTCAATTTCTCTGCTCAATTGTTAGCAAGGTTATCTTCTCATACCTAGAAACACTATATATTATTATATTAGAGAGAAACTTCTTCCACTCAGTTATTAGCAAGTTTATCTTCTTTTACCTAAAATCACTATGTATGGGAGATAAAATTCTCCCGATCAATCGTTAGTTGACTTATCTTGTAACTAAAAGTAATACATAATTTCAAATGAAAAATGAGCATATAAACTTCGTAAATAATTCATATTTACGTTATAAAATTAGAAGGTTGTTTAATAAATTTTCATATTTTTATGATCAAAAAAATAATTCACATCTATTAATAAATAAAAGGTAGTCAAAGTAGTGTACATGAATAGTGTGTAAATTTCAATGTGGCAACTAATATGATACGGAGGGAGTATATGATAGAAGAAATTATGTCGCTCAATTGTTAACCTTCTTAATTGTGACCTAATCTTCTTATACCTCAAATTTTATACATAAAAGCATTATATATGTGATAGAAAATTATCTCACTCAATTGTGAGACAGCTTATCATATACCTCAAAGCATTACATATAAGAGAGAAAAGTTGGTCACTCAATTGTAAACCGGCTTATCTTAAATTATTCTTCAAAGCACTCCATATGAGAGAGAAAATTATCTCGTTCAATTGTTAGCCGGCTTATCTTCTACCTAAAAGCATTATATATGAGAGAGAAAATTATACTACATCTTTCACAAATGTGTAATGATTCTATATGATAGAGGAAACTATCTCGCTTAATTGTTAACCTTCTTAATTATGACCTAATCTTTTTATACCTAAAATTTTATACATAAAAGCATTATATATGTGATAGAAAATTATCTCACTCAATTGTGAGACGACTTATCATATACCTCAAAGCATTACATATAAGAGAGAAAAGTTGGTTACTCAATTGTAAATCGACTTATCTTAATTATACTTCAAAGCACTCCATATGAGAGAGAAAATTATCTCGCTCAATTGTTAGCAGCCGGCTTATCTTCTACCTAAAAGCATTATATATGAGAGAGAAAATTCTACTACATCTTTCACAAAAGTGTAATGATTCACCCAATAACAATTTTATTTCCTCGTCTTCTACATCTTTATTACTTAATTACATAATTCCTTTTTAATTTACTTTCTACCATTAGATTGTTAGCGTTTTGAGTATTTTTTTCATACCGAGTGTATTTCTTCACTTGCAAGAGCTTATGTTATGCAGGTTTATTACTATGAATAATGTGAGCTTTTGATTCGCAAGTTTTATTTTCATTTTTCTAATTTGATTACTAATTCTAGTTGGTAGTCTAATATAGTGCTTCTTTCATGTAAATTCACTTAGTAAAGCAAATAACAAAAATGCAAAAGATGAAAAAGAAGTAAATAGACCAACCCGGATTTTTATTTTATTAGAACTAATTAGATTTTCATTTCCTAATTTTTTTATATAGCAAACCAGTGCACTTCAAATCATAAAATAATTTAAGAAACAAAAATGTTTAATCAATTTTTTCATATTTGTCCCTTCTCTTAAAAAGAAAGAATATCATACTATTAAATTGAATTAAATTTAGAAGTTTTACTTATTAGCAATTTAGCACCCGATGTGGTTATCATTTTCATTTGCTAATTTTTGAATTTCGAATGACATTATAATAAGGAAGGAATAAAGTTTATAACACTTTTTTTAAGTTTATAACACTTTAATTATGGGAGTATAATGTTATATTTTTTATTAAAAGTAAGAGTATATTAAAGGCCGAAGTTTCGTTAAGATAGATGACGTATATTAGTAGGCCAAATTTTTATATTTTCAGTCTCCGTAATTCATTTTTTGTATAATATACAAAAAAAATCTGTTTTTTTTTTTTAATTTTTATATATACAATATTGGTGTCATATGAAAGATCATTAAAAATTATAATTTCTGATATATTCATTCCAGATGTTTCTAGCATTTTCTGCATTCGCCCGCACCCTGCTTCTGTACTTGTCGGAGTAAGATCGTCGCCGTGCGGTAGGGAGACTTGGGCCGTTTAATCAAGGATGCATAATGGGCACAAGAATATTACATATGCTTTAAATCTGTAGAGGCCCAACTAAGTTCTAAGTCCATTTCAGGAAACTGTGCATTTTCTGATTTCTATGTTAATAGGGATATTTCAGGTGATAATAGTAAAACAAAAAAGAGCAATGTACATTGGATTGCTCAAAATAATCTTTACTTTATACATTAAATAAATAATAAATTCCATGACTGGAGATCAACAATGATCACCTGCCCAAGTGCCCAACCGCCACTACTGAATCAAAAATCTTCAATGCTAAACTCTAAACCACAAACCATAACTCTAACTATAAAGGCTTACTACTAAGAGTCCGTTTGGTAATTCTGTTTTTCAGCTTATCAGGATTTTCAGCCAATTTTTTAATCAAATACGTAACTTTTAATTTATGCACCGAATTGTGTAATAACAAGAAAAAGTAAGGTTTAAGTTACTTTTCTTGCTGTATTGGTTGAAGTTACTGTAGATGACCATTTTAGCTATTTTTCATATAACGTTTTCAGTTTTTCTAAATTTTATAAATAAAATATATTTTAAATATAATTTTTTCACAAATCAGCAGAATCAGTCAATACAACCACTTTAGCTAGAACTTCAGAAATTTCGGCATAATCAGCCGATTCATTAGGGGTGGGCAAAATAACCGAACCGGCATGGTACCGAACCGGACCGGTATGGTACCGGACCGGAAAACGAGATTTCAAACGATTCTCAAAAATTTTGTCCCGAACCGGACCGGACCGATTCCAAACCATGCCATGACCGGTTCTCATTTTATAAGTTTGTCCCGAACCGTACCGAACAAAACCAAATTATAATTTTATTAATTTATACAATTTTATAACTATATATACATGTATACGATATTACCATTAATTACTTTGATTACTCATTTGCACTTTGCTAATTCTTAGTTAATCGGATCGGTAAAAATGAATAGTTATATGAAATTCATTAACTTTGTTATTGTTAGTTATTTATGTTTTGTACTATTATAGTTTATAAGAAATTCATTAACTATATAATACTACCTTTGTCCCAAAAAACTTTTTCATTTTCAAAATTTTGACCAAATATATTTTTTATTGAGAATTATTTATAATATAAAAATTATTTGAAAATGTTCTGATCTTTGTTAAAACTACTTTCATAAAAGTATAAAATTTATAACTTCCATAATACTCTATACTAATCAAAATCATGGTTCAATTTTTTTGAAATGACAAAGTTTTTTAGGACGGAGGTAGTATGAAAATTGATAATTGTGTGGATTTTTGGATGATGACTAAGTTTAATTTATCGAAAAAAATGGCATTGTTTGGCATTGGTATGACATGGTACCGGACCGTTTGAAAATGAAACCGAACCGAACGGGTTTAGGTCTAAGACCGAACCGAACCGTTTCAAAAGTAACGGTTCGGGTACGGGATTGGACCGGACCACGCCCACCCTTACGATTCATGCAATTTTAGTGTTACCAAACGAGCTCTAAATTTAATGGTATTTTAAAACTTTAAAATCCAATGGCATTTTAATTTAGAATTATTACACTATTTTAAGCACTACAGAAGTCGTAATTAAGAAATAAAAAAAGCATCGGAAAGTTGTGTTTTAATATTAGATGGGCAACACTTTTTTCAATGCCCTAACTACTTTTTCTTGTTGTGGCCGTAAAGAGTGATTAACTCGCACTACGAGTCAATGCTATTTTGTTGAAGCTCAGCTCAAATATATATCTATGTTTAAAGAATCAGACCGGGTAGTTCTACCCAGAACCCTGCCACTCAGCCAATGATCCGGTCCAGTTTGCCTCTAAACCGCTAATATATCTAAACGCCAATAAAAACCGGCGACCCGTGTAAACACGAACCGAAACCAGCCCAATCCAGACCCGCGAATC